GCCATTAACCCATGTTCCCTGGTGACCTGAAATACACTGAAAGTGCTCCGCCGACAGAAACGCTTGAAATTACTTTGTGAACAAATTTCCATCATCTGGAGAGCCTTATCATGAGGAATCCTTTAAAACCCTCCCCCAACACACACAGAAACAACCCTGATACTGTGCTTGCAAATCTGTCCAATCAAGGATTGATGTAATTATTGCGTATGAAAACAAATTCCATAACAAAACATTTGATCACTGCTCCAAATCCTCAAGACAAAGCAAGACAATCCTCTCACCGCAGCACCGCCACTGCTTTAGAACCTCAGGCTTCTCTGCTCACTTTCCAACAGACCTCACAACCTCTGAGGATGCCTGCCATAGATGTGGATGAAACATCAGGAGAGAATGCTACTGGAACACAGTTATACAGCCTGGAAAACTCACAGCAACCCAATTTGCAAACTATCTACAGACCCTACAGTCTATAGTTTTTTAAACTGAGGCTTGAAGTCCCAGTTTCGTCAGTTGGAGTTTGGAGCTGTTAGAGAGAAGAAGTGTTGGTATTAGTCAGAGTGAATTTGGGTTTGAAGAAGATTGGGTTAGCTTTTGTGAAGTATTCAGAGTAGCTATTGGGAAAATACCTAGAATACTGTGGAGGAGCAATACCCTGTTAGCGGTCTGTTCAATTCCTAAGGAAGTCTAGTTCAGGGTTTTTGGCTAGATTCCTAAGGGGCATTTTTGGGAGTTACTTTCATAGATTCATTTCCTGAAGTAATTTTCTGTGGTGGAACTTTGAAGACTTGTAACCCAGAAGTTTTTAAGCTCTTTACTCTAATGCAACCACAAGCTTTTTATGCCACTATTTTACTGAAACCATTAAGCATTTGTACCTGAATATTTCAAGCCTGTTCAATAAACGTTCTTGTTAATTTAGTCAACTTATAACAGCCTCAGTGTAAATGCATTTGTGGTCAAAGTATTACTAAAGTAAGTTCCACAGCAGCCTCTAGGAAACTATAGTGGCACAGTGTGTGTTACAGAACAAACTCTCAAATATTACCTCAGCCTGTTTGAATAATAGTGAAATGGTGGCAGCGAAATTCCTTTAAAGAAACATTTTAAGTCTCTCAGTTCTAGTGGTTCCCAGTTCCTAGCTTTTAAAAATCCAGTTGGTTCCGCAACCATACTCCCTCTACCTTTTGTGAGCATTTGGGATTTTAAAAATATATTTCCCCGTCTGATAAACTTAATTAAAATCTTCTCTACTACACTACTCCTCGCTGCATTTATTGTTATATCATACAACCTGAAAAACTCACAACAACCCTCAACTATGGTCGACTGTGGGACGGGTCACCTGGTTAGGTGGATCTTTGTAGACCATTGCAACTCTTCCTCCTCACCCGCCAGGTCTAGCTTGCTGCTGCACACTGAAACCTGGCAGACAGAGTTGGGAGATTTACTCCCCCTTTAGATTTATAACAATAACGGTATAAATACGTTGCAAATAATATAAATATTATTCATGTAAAAATAATAATAGTAATTAGAAGTATATAAATAATAATAATAATAATAATAATAATAATAATATAATTGTAACAATAACATTATATATTTTATTGTTATTATTATCATTATTATTTTGTAATGCAATACATCTAGTGCTGCTTGCAACGGCAGAACTAGTAGTCACTGTGTTCATCCAGCTATGGATCTGAACTGGAGCTTATTTTTATACTTAATTATACTGTATATGATTGTTTATATTAAGTCTTTATGATGACAACAATATTATATATTTAGGTATTATTATTATTATTATTATTATTATTATTATTATGTAATGCAATACATCCATCATGTCTTGCAACAGATGAGTTAGTGGTCAATGCATCTGAACTGGGGCTTATTTTTATACTTACCGGTAACTAGCTATCCCCTGCCTCGCGTCGCTGTGGCCCAGTCTGTTGATCTGGAAAATAAAGTAATGAGAAAGTGTTGGTTTCTTATCTATGTAATGTCTTTCTGCTTGTGGATAAACAGTATTTCTTGCTGCTCCTTTTTCAGTCTTGATGTGGAGAGTGTCTGGTTTGCCCACCCTGGAACATGTAAGATATCATTGTCCTTCTTTAAGGGTCCCTTTCAAATCTATGATAC